CCAATACAACAGCACCAATAACACAGTAAGAGCATCAATATTATCCGTGAGCTAATTAATTAAGAATAATTGGTCAAATGTTCAAAGTTATCAAAATAATTACTCGCATTTCCTTCTTACTGTTGCTAATAAAGTCGAACAGTAGACAATATCAACAGTTGCAAGAAGGTTAAAAAACCTAACGTTGAATTAGATTCCAACAATTGAAAAATATGAACTATTGATGCCCATTATACTTGAAAGCCAATTAAAGAACTTCAACCTGAAGTATCAATTTTGTTCAAATTCTATAATCTTCTGCATCAGTAAATGATACTAATCCATTATGAAAAGTTTTGATCAAGGTGATTGCAATTGTAAAGATAAAACTAGACAATCATTTGATCAGGATCAATACGCCATTCTGAATCTCCAGTCTTGAATTGGTAACTCTTTCTAATGTATATATATATAATATCTTAGTAGTCGAAGAGATGAGATCAGTTCTTATGCACGTGACCTCAGATGACACGAACTTCAATATAATTAAAATAGGCCATCGAGTAGATGAGCTCTTAAGAATGGTTTGTGATGGATAGTTTAAAAGGACAGGCAAGCAAGATAGGGTTGACTCAGAACTCCCAAGTTGAGTTATACTTCGTTGATGAACAAGCCAGGTTATAAAGTAGATAGTAGAGGACTGGATATTTTATCTGCGATTTTAGGAGGGATAAATGATACCACTGATAAGACGTTTACAATATGAAGAGGACACAGATAATAAACAGATAACGAGATCTTCAAGCAATGAAGTCATAGGACAAGAAGAATATAATTATGCTGTCACATTTAAGGATTCTAAAGTTACATCAATAGAAGTAGGGGTATCTAGATCAAGAAGTTTGAAAGGAATTGTCAAAAGGACATCAGATCTAGTTTGCTTCTCTCGCAGTTCAAATATAAAGGCTGATATTGGTCCTTTAACTACATCTAGATCGATGAAATATTTTTTAAATTACGATTTAAAGAGGAATGTCTTGCCATTAGAGTTGAAAGATGCATGCGATGAGCTGAGGAAAGGGCTATCAATGATTAGAGTAACAAGAAGAAAGAAAGTAGCGCATATTTTCAAACTTAATGGTACAGATTCAATAAAGTGGAACAATAACGAAAAATCACTGGAGATAGACTCAATAAAAGACATCAGGGTAGATACGCTGGCCATAAACTACCGTAAAGAATATAATATCCCAGATAGTTCTTCAAATCTTTGGATAACCGTTATTTTCGAAGTTTCTAAAAAATTAAAGGCACTTCATTTAATAGCAAATAAGCATACTGACTTTCAAACCTTTTGTACTTGCATTGGAGGATTAGTTAAATACAGATATGATTTGATGAAAAGTGTCTCAGTTCCAGAAAGTGAAAAGTTTGCAAATATCCACTGGCATTCTTCAGTTTCTGAGAAAAAAGAGGATGAAAGTAAAGATACTCTTTCTTTTGTTGACATCAAAAGATTGTGTGATAAATTTCATATTTATTGTTCATCCAAGCACTTGCTAAAGTTTTTTACGGCGGCTGATATTAATCACAATGGACTTCTCAATTTCAAAGAGTTTCAGACGTTTGTTCAGCTTCTAAAGAGAAGAGATGAAATTATTAAAGTTTGGGAGTCACTGACCAATTGCCGTCAGTATTTAAATCTAGATGAATTCCATGAATTTGTCACTAAAATCCAGAAGGAGAAAGAGGACAAAGCATCAATATTTACAATTTACAATAAATTTAAAAGTCCAGATAAGAAGTATATGGATCTAAATGGTTTCATTAACTACCTTTCTTCCCAACCATATATCAATGATGATGTCGTTGATTATTCAAAGCCGTTAAATCATTACTATATTGCATCATCACATAACACATATCTTTTAGGTAAACAATTTGGCGAAACCCCATCTGTCGAAGGGTATATCCAAGTCTTACAACAGGGGTGTCGTTGCGTAGAAATCGACATATGGGATGATGAAAATGGACCTGTTGTTTGTCACAGTTTTTTGACATCTTCTATCCCATTATTAGATGTTGCTAGTGTTATTAGAAAATATGCGTTTATCACATCACCTTACCCTTTAATCATCTCGTTAGAAACCAATTGTAATAAAATAAATCAATTAAAAGCTGTTTCAATATTCAAAGATATTTTTGGTGACAGCCTTTGTACCAATATATTAGATGGCGATGCTTTAGCATCTCCCGAATCATTGAAACTAAAGGTAATATTAAAAATAAAAAAGACAAAAAGATTAGACGACATTGATAATTCTAAATCTTCACTTTCTCTATCTTCATCATCTTTTGAAAGCACTGGATCGTCTCATGGATCATCATTTGAGTCAGAATATGAGGCAACATCGTTCTATGATCCTGAGAACAAAACCTCTAAATTATCCTCTATGGGTATTAGGAGACGAATTAGAAGGATGAGCATGAAAAAGCAGGTTCATATAATAGACGAGTTATCGGAAATTGCAGGTATTCAGGGTTTAAAATTTCGTAACTTTTCCTTACCAGAGTCTAAAACACGAATCCATTGCTTTTCACTTAATGAAAAGAAACTCGAACATTTATGTAAGGATACTACTCAAAAATTAGCAGTTGACAAACACAATAGAAGATTCCTAATGAGAATATACCCACATGCATTACGTTATAAATCATCAAATTTTGATCCTATCAAATGCTGGGAAATTGGTACTCAAATGGTGGCTACAAACTGGCAAACTAATGATCTTGGTCATCAATTAAATTTGGCACTTTTTAAACTGACAGATCAAAAACAAGAGTTATTGCATACTGGCTATGCATTAAAACCCCCAAAATTGTTACCAGAAGTTACTAAATCGAGAGATTTAACCCAATTATACAAGGAGACCAAAAAGGATCCAGTTACCGTTTGTATTACACTGCTATCTGGTCAATTACTTCCAAAACCCAAGAACATCAAGAGTAATGAAGATACATTTGCACCTTACGTGGTTACTGAATTCATCTGTAATTGTGAACCTGTAAAACCACTGATGGTCAAATTTGGAACTGCACTTTCACCAAAAGTTTGCTCAACTCCTCGCTGTAAGGAAAACGGGTTCAGTCCAACATGGAATACAGAAATGTGTATTACTTTGAAGGATATAGAACTTGCCTTTGTTAAATTTACAGTAAAAACAGAAGAATCGATATTAGCGTCATGTACCTTGAAATTAGACTACATCAGAAAGGGTTATCGCCACATTCCATTATATAATCCCAAAGGTGAGAAATATATATTTTCCACCCTATTCATTAACACAAGAGCATAGCATTACATTGGTATGGTTTATATTACATTTCTTTATTGCTTACAGGATATTTTTTGGTCATCAGGAGAGAAATTTCTTCAAATTTAACCCAAATGTTAAAACTAAAAACGAGCTTTTAGATCCATTCAATATATATTATAGAGTACTACAATATGACATCGAAAACTTGTTAGGTTAGATCAGTTTACCGATCCTATGTGCATTTTTATTTCTATCCATTACTTTCATTACATAGATTTCTTCTATATCTACATACATACATAATATTCGGCATCTATCTAAAATTTTCAAAGGTTAATAAGAGATGAAAAATTTGATATGCAAACTCATCGACCTCATCGGTGATATAAAAAGAGGTAATAAAGGACAAATATAGTCAACCATAAGCTCTAAAGATACCAGGAACACGATGGGAAAAGCTGCTAAGAAGAAGTACTCTGGAGCCCCAGGCTCTGGGAAGCAAGTTGCAGCTGAAAAGCATTTAAATACAGTTTTCAAGTTTAATACTGATCTTGGTCAACATATTTTAAAGAATCCGCTAGTGGCACAGGGTATTGTTGATAAAGCCAATATCAAGCCCTCTGATATTGTTTTAGAAGTTGGTCCAGGTACTGGTAATTTGACTGTTCGTATTTTAGAACAAGCTAGAAAGGTTGTTGCAGTTGAAATGGATCCTAGAATGGCCGCTGAATTGACAAAGAGAGTCCACGGTACCCCAGCTGAAAAAAAACTGGAAATCATGTTAGGTGACTTTATGAAGACTGAATTACCATATTTTGACATTTGTATAAGTAATACCCCATATCAAATTTCTTCACCTTTGGTGTTTAAATTGATTAATCAGCCAAGACCTCCAAGAGTCTCAATACTGATGTTCCAAAGAGAATTTGCCTTGAGATTATTGGCAAGACCAGGTGATTCATTGTACTGTAGATTATCTGCAAACGTCCAAATGTGGGCTAATGTCACTCATATTATGAAAGTCGGCAGAAACAATTTTAGACCACCACCACAAGTTGAATCTAGTGTGGTTAGAATTGAAATCAAGAATCCAAGACCAGAAGTTGACTTCAATGAATGGGATGGTTTATTGAGAATCGTCTTTGTAAGAAAGAACAGAACTATTGCTGCTGGTTTTAAGTCAACTTCAGTTTTGGAAATTTTAGAGAAAAATTACAAAACATACTTATCTATGAACAATGAAATGATTGATGATACTACTGGTTCCATGACTGAAGTAGTTAAGGAGAAGATAGAAACGGTCTTGCAAGAGACAAAGTTAAGTGACAAGAGAGCAGGTAAATGTGATCAAACTGATTTTTTGAGACTATTGTATGCATTCCACCAAGTTGGTATCCATTTCTCATAGAGGAAATTAGTGCAAAGTATCAAAATCAAGATAAATATAAAAAATCAAGAATATACAAAGATGTATAACATCAAGATATACAATCACTTCATTACGGGAAAACTTCATCTATTGATGATGTTAGATTTTGCATTCACTTTAATCTATCAGCCATCATCAGGAATATGTAACCAAAAATTCAAGATAATTTCTTAGATTTTTTTTCAATAGATGTATATTATAATAAACTGGATATAAATTAATATTTCATAAGTATCACAGATAGCTCAACCTCGTTGGTACCTTTTCCCTAGCAGGACCCAACTTAAACCATGTAGTTTAATTTTCTTAAATTGAATACTGACCCAGCAGTAAGCTAATCAAATTAACCGGAAGTAATAAAAGAAATTAACAATCAATGTCGTTGATATTATACAAAATACTATCCAATTACCACTAACTTGGCATTCCCTAGTACACTGACACATTTCTTGCATGATTAATGTACATTAGGTACCTTATTACATAAATAGTCTCCAGTTCGCAATTTTTCCTCTAATTCGTAAATGTTTCGACATGGCTTTATTGGTATATAGGTCCCGCAAGCTATCATATATGTATGTTATTAATAGTTTTGGTCTAACTAAATACTTGAGTATGCTATATTATCCAGATATCAACCTGGATAACTGTTGATCTAACATGATTATTAGTTATCAACTTAGTTGTTTTATAATTTTTAATATTTGCATAGATTTATGGACCGATTTTTTATCATTAATGTTACTATAAATTTGCTACGTTTAATTATGGTAAATATTGTAATGTAGTTTAAAAATGACAGCTAACATGATAATGAATATTTAAAGTTAAGTTATGATTCTCAATAGTTGATGATATGAAAGATAAATTGTTATCAGTATTGAGTTCAATGCCTTTAAATTTTTTAGAATCGGAATCTGAAGTTAAAATCTTTTAACTTGCAATGAATAATTAATGATTTAAAAAATGAATGAATGGTCATGATTTATATTACAGATCGTAAATACATAAATTATATTGGAAATGTATCAAATTATATCTGATTTCAGATATAAATGCAAAACTGTCGAATAACAATGCTTTTTTTGAGTTTAGATGAATTTTACAAATTCCCAACTGACAATTATCGAGAAAGATAAAAATTGTCTTTCATAATCAAAAGAACCATTACTTTGAAAATGAATACAAATACTAATGACATTTCAGGAACTGACTAGTTAGTAATGTTAGAAATCTTATTAATGAATGGAAGGAAGAGGATTTGTCCTTATTATCTAGAATAAATGGTTTACAATTAAAACGTTTTAAAAAACCATTAATGGCTTTAAAAAATAGTGTATTCATATTTTGGGTTCAATAGTTGTTCGTATTGTCTAGTAACTAGCACTTCTTTAACGTGTGCTAATTTAGAGATTGCGTTTTTAGCCGAATATGAACCTTTTTGTCCCATTCTTTCTAGTGTTTTTATAAATTCTCCCTCTAATTGTTGATTTTTGATGATGATCGAGGACAATGCACAGTTATAAATCGCACAATTGCATACCAGATCCATTTCATCAATATTCGGAGTTGAATACACTGCTTCTAACGCTTTTTCTAGATATCTTACCACTACGACAGGGTTTTTTTCATCCTCATTTAAATAAAAAATAGCTAGGTATGCTTTAATCGCTTCAAATATTAAGGTGTTACAACTCTTCAAAGAAAATGCCAATTTATAATCACCTATTTGGTCTAACGAACGATAAATATCATTTTCATTAAATGAATTATTAATATCTGCCATCAGACTGTTACCTATACGTAGCATGTAATCTCTATGATTTATGTCTGTATAGGTAAGCTTATAATAAAGAATTCGAAGACCATTTAGTGACAAGTTTCCCTGTTGGAACTTGAGAAATTCTTTAACCATTTTCATCAGACAGGGATAAACATTTAATAGGATTCCTGTAACCAAATCATACCTTCCTTGTATTGTTGGACCTTCATGTTTATACAAAATTTCTAAATTTGATTCCAGATGTATTTCTTTACAAAGATAAAATGCATTTTCATTGCATAAATATGCACAATACTCTGTCCTGACGAACCACGATTTAATAAACCTGTACAAACTATACGCATACTGCCCTTCTGTTGTGGATAAAATGCTCTCATTGAATTTTGTTTCAGCTTTATTAATTATTTGAAATACACCTCGTAGGTGTAAATTCCAATCTGGATATATACCAGTTCTATTAGGTATAAATAAAATGCAAGCTGAAAATGCTAATATAATGTAGTCGACATATGAGTCGAATTCTATTAAATGCTTATCGAGTAAGCTTATGCAAGTTTTCATACTTGGGATCCTAACGTAGGTGTCCCAAATTTTGAAAAGATCATTAACACCTTCTTTTTGATAGGAATCCTTCATAGATGAAGCTGTTGCCAATGTTATTACAGTATTCAGTATATTGTATGACTTTGAAAAATAGTTTAATATGCTTAGCATTCTATTCAATTTCAATTGAGGAAATAACATAAACTGACCAAAACACATTGTAGCATTGCAATAGTTCCATACAAAGTTCAGCAAACTTGGATCATCTAATGATATAGAAGTAATTTGTACATTTCGAGCAGTATATGATTGGACTAATGCTCTTACTGGATCAACTTGCATCATAGTATTGAACAATTTTTCCTGTGTATCATGTCTTGAGTTAGCTGTAATGTTATAACCCATCATTGGTAAGACTACTGGATGTTTACTTTCAATCCCATCAAAATTTAATAGATTTATCATACGCATATTGGCTTTATTGAAGAAGGACATGCTATCAATTGGCTCATTATCATTATCGTTACTGTGTTTATTGTTTTCTGTTATATTATTAATATGGTTGGTTGACATATATCTTGGTTCATGTGGAAACATTTGCTTTGTTTCCAGATGAACATGCCCTGCTAAATCTCTACCTAATGAATGGTTTGCTGTTGGAATAGGCACTGGTGTGTAACTATAATTGTGGCCTGGTACTGTGTTTGTATACGGGGAATGCGTTGTTATATTGCCATAAGATAAAGGTGGCTCAGAGAATCTTTGTTTAGGTACCTTAACATCAGATATAATCATCGACTCCTTTGATTGAGTAGTTGTAACTACTGGTGATGATATAGAAGAAGATGAAGAAGAATTGGAAACACTAAATGATGACATTGGGTTTTTCTTCATATTAAGCTTCTCCAAAACAAAATTCAGGGTATAAGTACATTGTCTATTCTTTTTGATACATTGCAAACAACTAGGTTTGTTCTCATCACATTTCTTATGTGATTTTTTGCATTGCAAACATCCATTTCTGGAATAAAATGTGGTATTCTTTCTCTTCCTTTTTTTCGATTTATCTTCCATTGTTTTGTATTGAACCACTGTTTCAACTCAATTCAATTCTCAAAGTTACAAACTGAATATAATGTGGATACAGTTTTATTAAACTACCTCAAAACTTCCCTTACTTAGGGTATTCTTTAAAATTAGTCGTGCCTTATTTGCTATGCCTTTCTATGAAATGAACAACTATATGGAAATTTTAAGCTATAACAAATTTAAAAATATTAAAAAACTCTTGATATTATTATTGAATAAATCAAAAAAAAAATAACTACCTAAAATTTATAATAGTCCCTTCAATCTGTTTAATCAAATCTTATCAATTATTGTAAAATTCTTGGGTATATCTATACTTAAAATATATTTACTAGTTAAAATGATGTAATTTTTCACTATTAAAACTAAAGCTCATCGAACAAACTAGAAGTGTCTTAAAAGGTCATACCAAATAAAAGGGTAAATATAATTTAGGAAAAGATTACAATTATAATGATATTCTTCGAGGTTATATATATTATCAAATTGTAATATTATTATGTCAATTATAATAATTCTTTTGATTTGATTTGGATTGGTATCCGAATTAATAGTGGGATTTGAATTAATTTACGTAGAGAAATCAGAATAAATTGGTATCGGACTAAACTGAATGAATGGTATGAAGTTAAAAGAAGAAAATAGGAATGGGAAATATGTTATATGTTCACCTAATTTGGTTTATGTTCTTAATTTATTTTTTTTAAAATTTAATTTTTTCTAAAAAACTGCCTATTATTCATTATTAATTGCAATACAAGTTAGTAGAACATTCCTATTGTATTAAAATTCGATATAACGGGTTCAACAGGAAAAGAAACTAGCAACAACAAGAAATATATACATTGACCAGGAATAATCATTTTGAATTAATCGAATCTCAAGACCATTCCAAGCTAAGACCTACATTGCACCTCAACCACCGACCTTGTGGGATAGACCTAGCAAGTGAATATTAGTAATTAAAATCAACGCACAGAGAGATCTCGAAACTAGAAACGAGAAGGATTATGACAAGACCAAAATTAATAAATAACCTTAGGTACCTGTTGTAGCTCTAGGTGGGCAAACTAACTTTACAATAATTTTTTTGGTGGTTTTTTATGAAAGATCAGAAATTACTGCACTTGAGGAATTTAATAATGAACAATGAAACTTCAGCAGTTGTAAAACATATCATGAAGAGGCAAGGAAGTCTAGAATAAGAAATAAAATCGAACCAAAATAGTAGAGAAACAATAGCAAGAACACATAGACACACACACGTACACTCATACACACACTATTGAGCCAGTTGAGGTTCAGAGTTGTTAGAGTAGGCACGGTAAGAAAGTATATATCCTTCATCAGAGAGATAGAAAGAAAGAAAGACACACACAATACACATGCACACACCGTAACAGTAACAGTAACGGCACTTGTACCAGTAGCTGGGGTTTCCTTCAGAATTAATTAATCAACTATCTTGTAAGAGAAAGCTCACAACAAGCCCAAAAAAAAATAAATAAGTAAATATAAACATAAAACACATTAATAAAATAGATGTTAACATACCAAAACCTTCAGACAGAGGACAATAGTAAGATTTTGATCGATGACAAAGAATTTTAATGTCTTCCACTTGCCTTATAGCTGAAAACTGTCTAAATGTTGGGAAAACTATGATGAAAAGTTTAATAGATTGTGTGCAAAATAAAATAAGAAAGATCAAGATAGACAGAGAACAGGGCATTAGTAGAGAGTTTAAAGAAAGATAAACGGAACAGGTGATTCCGAATTACTTGCAGAACATGATGAACTGTTGTAGAAACCATTGTCCACCGTCTTGTTGTTCCGATTTCTTCTTAAACGTCATAAACCTGGATATTGGGAAACAAAGTTACGAAGCTCTAACCAGTCAATTTACAAAATTTGTTAAGCAATTGCGCAGATGAAGCAGGTCCTAATCAATCAGTCAGTCAGTCAGTCAATCCATCCGTAGTAAGAACAGTAGCATGAATTTCGAAACGAGTTAACCTTCTTCCATAGATTTTGAACGAATGTTCTGCTGCGGAATCAAGCCTAATATAAAATAGCCAAATAACAACAACCAATTAGTAACTGATCCGAGCTTTGTTAAATTCAGTACAGGCAGAGTTCTGATTTATGTATGGTACATACCGTATAATTTGGAAAAATTCCTTCCCTCATTCACTGCTAAAGCAGTGAACATTATTAATACTGTAGACCTTCTTTCCCACAGAATGAGAGGATTAGGAAAACAGCAGTGGATGCCATGCATAATTACTAAGACTGTCGATTGGTAAAAATGGGATACCAGGCTAAGGAAAGGCAAAAGAGAAAATAAAAAGAACCGACATCGGCATTTTTACCCAAACTACAGAACTATCTCAACATTACCACCAACAATTGGGTGCCCTCTCTGCAGTAGGAAGTTGTTGGAGGCTTCTGTAGGTTGGTCAACATTCAGTGTTTCGAGCTCACGGAAAAGGACTGTGTTGGCCTCTGACGTATTAAAGTTTCATGGGTATTGCAAGAACACAATCACCAAAGAAGGTAAAGAAACGGAATATTCTTGAGCTCTGAGCAAAGCAGTGGTGGGCCCAGCTGCAGCAGACCTTCCTTTCCTCCCCCTCACTGTCTTCTTACTGTTAGTAATTCATTGGTGCTGCACAGGATGCTCTATATGTGCCGGGAAAGGCAAAAGTAGAGCCAAAGGCAACAGGCAATATTTTCAAAAAAACAGTAATTGGGTTATGAATATGGTAAAAACTGAACACTAATTATCATTTGGTCTCATTAATAATAACCAAGTCTAACAATCCCAAAAGCCAAACTAAACCCCTTTGATTGTTGTTACTAGAGAGACTTCAGGCTTGGGCTTTGTTAGAGATTGCCTACACCATTGCTGCGTTAACCTTTAAGCACATGGTACAAGACAGAGAGCTTTCTCAATAGAATTTTCTGGTGGATAATAAAATAAAATAAAATAAAATAAAATTCAGGCTACTTTTGAAACTATTTTTTATTTCTTTTCTCTTATGTTCTCTTTTCTTCCAGCTGCTCTTACCAAAGTTTCTTGCAAACCTCATTTCGAGCCTTTGCTTGATGATGCTTCCATTGCTTTTTTCCAGTATGTCAGTTTTAGACTGAACAGATTCTCTTCTGGTATGACTGGAATTTGAAGAGGCAATATTGGGACAAAGTTTCGAAAAGTTGGTGGGAACAACAGGGCCAAGGTTAGAACGTCTGATAGATTGCACACAGGTCGTGTTCTCTCTGGTATTTTCTTGCTTTTCTACGAGTACTTGTTATACTTCAACATTTCAAAATGCTGAATAAATTGAAGATAATTACAAATTAAAGAGTAGATAGATTGGGTAAAAGGTCTTTACTATCCTATGAGAGGCAAGAGGAGAGGAGATTAGGACGTGTGAATGTCCTGATTAGTATTAATAAACTTACAATTGGGCGTATTTTACGATCTACTCGAACCATCTATGGGATATTTTGCGCCCGCTCTTTTCTCTTGATGGAACACTAGAATTCATTTGGAAATATTGCCTTGTTGCTGACTGTGGAAGAAAATTTCTTTTTTTTTTGATGTGGTTCAGACAATTTACTGTTAGTAATACTATCCAAATCAATCAAATGTCATATCGGTTAATGGAGAACTTAAATTTCTCACAGGAGACTTAGTTATTATAAGTCTCCTTTGTTCTGAAATCAGATAGTTCTGGTTCCTTGGAAATCCCCTCCATCAATTTTGAATTGTGATTTAGCCAATTATAGTCAATAGAAAAGTTAAAGACCTATATATCCAATTTTGTCGATAATGAAATCAATAAATATTTACTCCAAAAATATCCTAACGCTGTTATAAAAATTTTATTAATATATTTGATTCTCTGGTTATTCTTACTACTGCACATTCACCTTAATTAGAAGTCCAAATTCCGATATCGAAAAATCCATTAGTTTCAATGTTTTATGAATACGCTTTTGGTATGAAACCAAACAAACTTGTTGATCCAAGACTGATATTTCGAGTTCTTTCATATATTAAAAAAACATCGTAGCTTTCTTAGTTAATACTATTCAGCTTTTTCTTTTAAAAAAAATTTTCAAGATAAAGAAAAATATCCATAACGATACAAATTAAAACATTAAATTACGTGCCTTACCATTTTCACTATTATTCCAAGAAATTAGATAATCAGTTTCCTATTTCTAAAGATTCCATAACTCTCTATCTCCCATTTTGTACTTTTAAAAAAAGACAATGTATTGTAGCTAATCACTTTAAATAGTCAACAGTGTCATCTAAGTTATTAACCTGCAACCATGGCCAAATGTAAAAGAAGTACCGCAATTATTTCAATTAATTGTTACTTCTTCAATCATTCTATTGAACAGGCCATCAAATTTAATCAAATTAGACAAAATAGGATTTAGAATATTTTAAATTTAGATAACCCTAACTGTTGATTAAAATAAAATTAATATATTTTTACCACCTAGATTAGATCAATAAACTACAGGAAATTAATTCCCGAATATCCCCGCTAATTTCCTTTGCCTTATCACTGATTATTTGCTGTATGAAATATCAATCGTCCAAAATCTAATAGTAATAAAAAAAATAATAGGAATAACAATAAACAACAACAATACAATAAATGAAAAACTACAACTCGTAAAAAGGCTTGAATTATTGAGTTTCTTTGGGCATAGATTTAACTCACTTCGAATTTTATTACATGACGATATCAAAAAGAACCTATTACAGTATTCTTGTATCAAAATTCTTTTCTTTAAAGTTGACGAACAAGTGAAACAAGTAAAACAACTAAAATATTCTTGAAACCATTTCTTTTTTACGAGTATTCACGTTACTCTCAGATATCAAGGTCTTAGTTGAGTTGCACAACTGACAATAGTGCAACGAAAAAGAGGAAAGTATTCTTGCAAGTAGTTTTGTTTCATGCCATCATTGGCATTATAATTATCAACTGCCAAACAGAGTCGGTAGAAAAAAGATAAACAGAGGCAAGGTTTTTTCTTTTTATCCAGTACAGATCATATATTGAGGTTCCTTCAGCTTATCATGGTCTGGAATAGCCAAAACAGCATCATAGAAAAAAAATACCTATGAGTTCTACAACAATTCAAATTAGTACGTGGCATATTCAAAACTCTGTAGGCAAACATTTTTCATTCTTGAAAAGAAAGCACATTCGAACTTTGAAAATTGTAGGTAATTAGAATAAATTTCGAATTCCTTACAGTTCTATCGTATCTTTAATTCTTGATTATTTTTCACCTAGTCAAATTCTTCATTGCAAATATATTCGAATCTTTATTGATAAAGATAATAAAATAGTAAATGTTGAATTTCAGAATTGCATGGATATTGACCATCGATTGCTATTTTTTTCATTCAACACCATTAAAACAGTTTTATTTTAGAATTACAGTTGCACTAGAGTTCTAAGATAATCGATAAATAATTCATTATATGAATAATGCCTTTTAGAACTCTGGATAAAACCAATATTATCAGTTGAATATCCTAAATAGCACATATAATATGAATTTAGAAGAACAAAGTCAAATTTGACAACGATATATCAATTTTATTTGTAATAGCCACTATGCTATCTATGTTACCATTTTTTGGTACTAGCACTTCAGATTTTAATTCTCTAACTGTATCCAATCTTATTTTAGTCATTAAAAATGATTCTGAATGAACTATCCTTGAGTTTTTTTTCTTATTCTTGAATGAAATTTACCAATTACTCGAGCCAGTATGCCTAAGTTCATCAGGCTCAAGATCATTGACATTATCTTAGTATTTTCATTACCAGTCATTCCAACATTTAAGAAGCCAATTAAATCGATATCATTTGTCTAAACACTAATATCAATGATATTCCCATAAAGGTAATACTCTATTGTAGTGAATTAAATGGTGATTCCTACTTATATTTAGAGTCATCAATATTTCTGATAGCAGGCATGAAATAGTTCTAGCATATTTTATATTTGTTCATAATCCATTTTTCATTTTACGTTAAACTGTTCTGAATCAAAAAGATAGTTCTTTAAACTTCATTAACGGCAATGAATAGGCTAGATATTGGAAATTCAACTGGCACTATTGTAATAACTATATCAGCCGTTTTTGACATTCTTTTGCAATATATTATCTAATTGTTCTTTCATAACACCTAAAAGTACAATATTTTGAATTGTTTAAATTAAGTTTTGACAATTTAAAACAGCCACCAATTAGAAGAAGAAATATGTTAAATAATAATTTCAGATATCGTTGAAGAACTACAAAGAGTTCCTCACTATACACTATTATTATTAACACCTTCCAAAATTCAGATTAGCATCATAAGGATGATCCAATTTATTTCTCTTCCAAGACTCTTTTTGATGAAACAAATACTAAAATTGCTGAATCCAAAAGAACTTTAGTTTATTCAACAAAATGTGATTTCAGAGGCAAACTACCTATTCACAGATGTATCTGTTTGAATAAGTAGACGATATGACAGAGATATTACCATATTTTGAAGAGTTAGCTTTAATAAAATTTTCAATATAACCTCTATCACTAATTTTAATGAATTAATATTTATTGAGGTCCATACTCATGAAAAGGAAATGCCCCAATGATTGAAATAATGTACAACATATGTACTACTATACTTTTGAAAAGAACACCATACTCCACTGGTTGACGATCTGCCCACTCTTTAGTCCTCTTATAATTTAGCTATATTCTCAACAGATTGAGTTCAGGCATATTAATTTGAAATGAAACTGGAACTAGACATACTGCCATTCGATAAACTTCAATTCAAAGATAGACCTCATTAATTTATAGCAGTCTAGGTTTTGTCTAGTTTGACGTGTCTAACAATAATGTCATTATTGGTTCTGAGATCAGTATGTTTAACTATGAGATCAAAAGAACACGGGAACAATAGAACAGTTTATGATATCGTTATCATTAGTAATTAACCAGAATGAAGGAGATCAATAAAACCTTTGAAGTAATTGGAATTAGTAGAATAAATGTATTCTATATCAAAAAGGATAATTCACAGTACTAGATGATAGCTGTTTCTTTTTAATCTGATCAAAAAATTTAAAAAAGAAGGTTACAATCAAAGATCAAAAAACCAATTAACATATAGAGAATGAAGCTCCATTTAGCTTGATTACTTCAATGCATTTGTAAAACCAACAGTTGGATATATCTTTGGAGAGAATATAAAAATTAGCGACTAGGTGTGCACACAAACAATACCAATTACCAATTCATTAAAAAGAGACACTATCACACTATTTCACTCAAAACTTGTCCAATTGAATCAGTTTTTCTTACCAAACATTGAAATAGAGTATGGAGTTCAATATATTAGGGTCTTTACTACTTCAATTTAGCACGTATCCTTTACCATATAGCATCAGAATCACCTAAAAAGTTACCAAACCAAATAATAAAGCACATACTGTGATGAAAAGTTATAATCCTAGCTTTCAAGAAATGGGATAACCAACGTTATTTAATTGACTCCAAAATATTTAAATCAATAGAAAGATTTTTCCATTAGTAATGAAATCTCATTATTACGATACTGGATTCTTAATGAATTTGATGTAACAAAATTGTCAATTGGGTAACAAAAGAAACAATTTAGCATCCAATTCTAATTAATATTGAGATTATATTCGATGTTGTATGTCGATCTACAATTCTAAGAGTTCAATTATTTAAACTTTCGAAACAACCTTAATATAAACCGAATTAATAATAAAGTTTCGTAATAATTTCCTTTTTCAAAAATTTTCGAATATGTTGTTACATACCGATATGATTAAATAAGCTTAAACTAAAGGTATTAGAAACTGTTAACATTTTGTATTCGAGTATCAGTTCAATGAGTTCAATTTGGGAAGTGTCGATAAAATGCCAGCTAAGATAGTTGAGCAAAATTGGTAGAAATTAAGTTGAATTGAGTTGAATTGAATGGTTTAACTTATTTTAAAACGCAGCGTCAAGAAGTGCTAAATTATATTGAGAGATGATAGAAGGGAATGTTACAAAACAATAAATGTTTGTTGTCCTTGTCGAAGTAATCTACCCTTTATATTTGAAAATATGGAAATATATACATAAACGTGGAGAGTCAGTTAAAACGTGAATTCTGCAATTTCCAAATGGGTTATTGCTTAGATAATCTCAATTTTTGGTTATACTTTATATAATACTCACAAGCATCTATTGGACCAAGATATTAGTAGGATTAAATAGAAACGTTGTTAGTTTCCAAAGACTTCCTTATACTTAGTCAAAAAGTTTGCTCGGAGTAGCCAAAAATCCTCCCTGATAAGTTTCATATATTTATTGCAGTTTTAAACAATCAAAATCAGTATTATGATGCTTCAAGGTTATCCAATTCGTGAACGTACATACTTTGAAGGTTACTGATTGATTTCCAGAAATAATACTTCTATTTGATATAATTATATATCTCAATTAGTCCCTTCTTAGGGGAATTAACCAATACCGATAAATTAAAAATATCGCAATAATAGCATGATATACTATACTAATTTAGTTAAACAAGGTCAGAAAGGTATGTTATCTTGACTACATTAATTCACAAGGTCTATAATTTAATTCAATTAATCATAATGAACTTTACTATATCACAAGTAATATATTTAATATAAGGGCAACATAAGATTGAAATAAATATAATATTTTAATTATTTTAAGATTTAAGGGAATAATTTTTTTCTAACTCCTATTTAATTTTATAAACGCTTTTGAAGAGGGATTTCAGGTCAGTAGACATTTTGGATTTTGGTGGTTGAAGATATGCCATTTCATAGATCCCATCAGATCCTTTATTAAGCATTCTTTTAGATGTAATTACTATCTCAGTTGAAATATCGAACCTGAAAGTTGTTTCGGTAGTTGGAGAATAGCAATCATCAAAGTCACTCAATTCTAACTCAAATTTTTTAGGGACTGACTCTAATAAGTAATAAAACCCCCTTTGTTGACCTTTAATCAGCTTCCTTTCTATTTTTTTAAGATGTACTTGTATTAGTTGATCTAGAAGCTCATCGGATATTTCATAATGCTTTTCATAACGTAGGAGATCACAAGTACAGTTTGGTGCAAGGACCCTAGTTTCTACCCAAATTTTAACTGGATTTCTGATAATACTTAGCAAATGTCCAGGTGTACCTTTAATTCCATATGGACTTTGTTCCAAAATATCATAAATTGCTGTATTTATATCTTTCGTGTCGTTTTCATTGCAACCGACAAAAATCGTTGGTATATTCCACAATCTACTCCAGTTATACACAGTGTTGACTCTACACTTCTTTTCGAATCTAAATGTTTTTTTAAATAGAGAATCAACTTTAAAGTTTGATTTGTCTTTAATAAAGAATTGTTGACCTTTATTAATTTCATTTTCTAGTATATCTTTGAGAGAGCTTACACCTGGTTCATACCTAATCTTGTTTAATAAATCAATATCAACAGGGCCTGTCCAAATGGTATTGAAAGGTCTATTACCCCAGACAATAATCATTGGGTGGTGTTGAAACAAATCTTCTTGTACCTGATAATCTAGTTTATTCATATAGGTAGGATCAGTCATATCGTGCTCACGAATACTGTCGTGAATCTGCAAAAGGAAAGGGTGGAATGATAGAGTGAATGAAACCTGGAATCCTGCAACTCTACTTTTCTTATGTTTAGTGGCATCAAGAAGATGGACTGTCATTTCAATTATTTTTGTTATTTAAGCGGATGTAAAATGTTTCTTTATGAGATACCAAGTTTCAAACAAGAGAAGATAAGATAAGTTAAGACACCCAAGGCTATTTTTAATGATAAGTATGATTAATCCACAATATTCAATGTGACTTTTTATATCATCAATATCTCAATGAATTCTGACACTAATACACAATTGCTAATAATATAATTAAGTTTTATATTCATTGGTATTAGATATAATTTTGCTATTGGCAAAAACTGAAAAATCTTGCCATCAAGCTAATGACAAGATACCATAACCAACAATTTTTATACCACTATCATTAGATATATGAAAATTGCTATCAACAATAAATACATATAGTTGCTGAAGTTTGAGTTCAAGATCAACTACAATATAAATATCTTTTATGTATAAAGCAAATTTAACTTCAGAACACGTGACCTGGAATTCAAAGTTCTGACCGCAAACGGCAGACAAATTATTACGGAGTTACATGAAGCAGAGAAGAAACAAACTTGAGATATTTCAATAATTTATTAGTCAAAAGAACTTGGTATATACATATGGAAGGAATGTGGACTATTACCTTTTTTTGCCATTCTTAAGCACTTTTTCCCTAAAATAATACAATATCCCTCACTGTCGAAACAAGTCTTGATTCCAATCCTCAAAAAATAGCGAAAGAGCCAAGCACAGGCATCGTTATTATAAGGGGGAAAGGGGATGGAATAGTGGGGGCTAGTTTAATAAGTACAACGATGAATTGCGGCGAAAAACACATTTCCATAATACAGGATTTAACTGAAACTAATAAAGTTTATTATTCTGATTTCATTTAAATCATCTTGTTCTTTATCATCGCTTGCATTACATTACATATGCTTTTTCTGTAGTGTGATTCCATGCACCCCTGTTGAAACTTGAGATATTTTGGTAAAATTTTTTTTTGCTATTGATGCTACCTGCCTTAGTAAAATATTAGTATCTCTACAGAAACGTAATCATTTCTTATGATTAATTTATGCAATGACGAAGTGGATTACTGTTGAATGCACTTCTTATTTTACATCAAATTATGTAGATTAGTTAATTATAGTTTATAATTGCCATTTTTACAATTTTTATTGTTACAAGGCAGGAAGGTATATACATCATCCTTTAATTCATTGAACAATTCACTGAATCGGTGCTGTTACAATTAATAATGGATTATTGAATTATTTTTGATGCATTTATTAATTTTTAGCTTTTATTTCTATTTGATAATCAAGTGTTCTTATTAATCGTAATTAAATAGGAGTGGTATTGCTTCTTGATTGTCATCAACTGTATGTACGCTTTCTGTATCTATACTAGTTATTTTTTGCAATTTTGATTCCCACCAAACATTACTGGACAATAATTTAATCTTTATCTTAGCATGTTCCCTTAAGATGGAAATTTGCTGATTATGGGGTTTTTAAATACGTAGTATTGTTTAGATTAATCTTGATATATAAGCTGGTTCCAAAATATTTGGTCTTTGTGTTGTTATTCCAAAATTTATTTTTTTACATATATATTTATCATATTAGTATATTTAAACATACACATCATACCAAACAAATAGCATTTTATATTATATATATCCAATAATAATTTTTTAATCATAATGATAAACTACAATCCAGATACAAATATTTCTGAATCAGAACAAGCAAAATGGATACTAAGCAGGGCAGTATCATCACATATATGTGGTGATATATCGAAATTTGCTGATTTTGAAGCTGAAACGAAAGATAACTATATTCATGGTCTTTCAAATCAGTACAAGATTCATGGCCATGGTACTGTAGAGGTTCCAGGATTCACATTAAATGAAGTGGTGTATATACCAGATGCAAATGTAAATTTACTATCAATTAAAAAGTTAAGTTCTGATAATAATGTTACATTTTTGTTTGATGATAGACATGCATATGTAATGTTTTATGATCGTAAGAAGAAGAAAGTTGGGACTTTTAGAAGAAATCTATGTTATTTGGATTTAAATTAATAGAAGAAATATAATTCATATATTTCGAAATTGTTTCATACATTGCAATTATACATTAGGAAAAGATATTCAAATTCATTATAGAATTTTGTTTAATCGATATTTTTCTTAGATATTCATGAGGTAAGATTTAGAAGCATTAGCAAAGTTATTTCATTCATTGGTATTATTATTAAGGTTAAACCATTCTGCATTAATGCAAATTTTTTGTTCTTTTAGTTATTACTAGGTTGAAAAGCTTTTTTCATATTAATAGTGACAGAGATACCATAGAATGCATTCTGTCGTTTAAAAGTTAACTGAATAGAATTTTATAAAACCCTGATTAGCAGAGCTTTTTAATATTGAAACACATTCAAGAAAATTTTCATTTAATTGAGCATTTATTCTTTCATTTCCAGTCATGCCAATGCATTTTTATTTATACATATGAAATGGGTTGTCTCTCTATGCATAGATGTTAAAACTAATACATTAAGTAATTATATGTAATAAGTAACACATAATACAAATAAATTCATTTTTCAAATGTGGGTGAATAATTTTAGGAGAAGAAGACTGTTTTATAGAGGCAGGCTGTTGAATAAACAGAAAATGTTTTGTTATCTTTAAACTTATTAATAAAGATATAAAGGAATGAGAAGTAAGATATATTTTCGGAAAGTTTTTTAAAAATTGGCCAATTCAACACAAACAACTTATAAAGAATTAATATATGTTCACAAGAAATTAATTACAAACAAATTAGCAACTTGATAATACTTCAGCATTATAATAAAAATGTGAACGCCGCAAAATTATATGATCGGGATCAACATGTCATCGGAGAGTATTTCTCTAGTGGCGGTTCGTCAATTTATAAAATTTGTGATGTGATGAATTTCATTTAGTCAAAAGCAGGGATTTCAAAAGACCCTAAGCTTTCCAATATTTTCTATTTCAAGCATGAGAAAAAGTATTAAGGTCTTATAATGAACCTACCTATCAAAATGCCCACCACTGGTTATTTCTAAAATTTTCACCTGAAATTGATAGTTCCCTTCACAAAGCATATATTTTATAAATGCTATAAACCTTAAAAGCTAGAAAATAAAGTTTAGAAGTTTTATCAGATTCATATTAATTGTAATTTAAATTCTTCAATTGACACTAGTCAAATTCTACTATTGAGATCTCTCTCATGAATAAATTAACATTATTTCACTAATTGAATGCTAAACCGTAATTTTACATGGTTACGTTCAATCAGACCATTTTGTGAATTATATGTCATACCCATTAAACTGGTGTGGTAGTATAAAATATAAGATAATTAAATATCCTTTGAAGATCTGTCAGCCCTATATATGCAATTAGTATTGAATTATGCGAGAAATCGATCTTGTCTCTCAAAACAATAAACAATCTAGGAAATGTACACTGTAATATAGAACTAGGAGTATAAACTATTGGTTCTCTTAATGACAGGAAACAGGTTTAAGTAAAGCAGATTTCATGGTCCTTTTATAGATCTCTTATAGTGTTTAAATGTGTAATTATCATGTGGCTGTAACGAATACCTGCACGCTCGTTTTTTATTTAGTTTTCAATTTGGGAACCTTTTAGTAGCAAGACATTTTAGTTTGATCGATGTACGATAGACTACTGGGAGTACCAACAGCACCAACAGCACCAACAGAAACAGCAACAATATCAGAGTTACCCTGTCATTAGTCTTGGGAGGTCCAACACTGAACAACAAATCTTCGTTGTTCATGATAGATTCTACTATCCCTCGGTTTGAAACCAGAAATTTTCGAAGCCTGTACGGGCATTTGTCTTTTCTTGTTTCAGTTTGAACTCCCAAGCTAGAAAATCAGAACGGAGATTTCTTGTTGTAACTATGGGAACGGACTCTTTCATGTAATTATTAATTTTATGATAAACCATTTCGAATCAGAAGTAACAACCTTATATGATGTCATCGAATCCATTTCGAAATATGGAAAGAGTTGATATTTTTCAACGGATCATATAATGTCTTACTATTTAAGAATTGCAACAATAATTTAATAATTTATTTAGAAAGAATGACTAGCCGGTAGATTTTCATCATATTTTAAAAATATAACAATTATAATCAAATACATCATTGATGAAAAAGGTGAAAACTGATATACTTTCAACATAATACAATGTCAAGAAAACCGTCGGATGAAGCAAAATTAGAATCTTCTAATATAGATACGCCTCGCAATAATAGCCATGCTACTGTTTTCCTGATCTCGTTTGTAGCTGTTCCAATGTTATTATGCACTATTTTACTTATATATTTAATATATTCGGTTGACAAGACAGTTTACTTAACTCCAGAGGAACAATGGATGCAAAGGTATAAAAATATGAAGTGCACGGGTTATGCCTCTGCTAGGTTTGTTTCTTTTATAATTGCTATTATTTCAGGTATCTTGATGTTTAACGTTTTACGTAAGGCAAATGGTATTCCAACTGTGTTTGGAACGATCAAAGGAAAAGCAGGCTTCTTTGGTGTTCTAATATTGCTAATTGGTTTCTGTTACTTAACTATGCTAACAAATGACAATATATCCTCACTTAAATGTTTTGCTTAGAAACATCAATAAGGCCAATAGATAAACGGTTATCATTTATCAATGAGATGTTTCTAACAACTTAATAGTTTTTCATATTATTCTTTAAATAATAATTTCAATCATTTTACATATTAATAGCAAAAATATTTGAAGGTTGAACTTCCACTCAGTATCTAATATCACACTTAAATACCTTGATGTGTGCGGATACCAATGTAATGAACAATTTTCTTGTTGTACTAAGATTACATAGATTATAAAAGTGATGATTTCATCAACGTGCAATTATCCCTGATTATTATACATTGGTAAAACATAAATTTAGAATACAATTTTGGTAAAAAATTTTAGTTAACAATGACGTACAAGATTAGGGTTAATAATATAAGCTGTACCATATAATGCCGCTTGTATCCGAATGCTAGGATACCTTATATTCTAAAACTTTATCCCCTAATGATAATGAAAAAATTAAATGGATATTCATGATATAATTGACGCATCTGTAGATTATTAGTATGAAGAACATTTAAAAAAAGAGTATGTGCTATAATCCTTCCTTGGTTTGTGTGACACTTGTAAATGAAGTTATGCAACCCTGGATTAGTAAATAATAGAAAAAGAAACTAATACCTGAAGTTTATAAAAGAAATGAGATGATTCTTATTTGTATGAATTTACAGGCTATACGTTGAACATCGTCAGTTATTATGGATATAAAGAAAGGAGAGTGAACCCATTGTATAATCTAGTAAGTATAGTAATATAGATATGAATATGATTACAGGTAACTATCCAGTAATATGTTAAATTAATAAATAGTAAACAATAGGGATTCTTGATGGAATATAATCTCATCTAAGTGAGAATAATCTGGTATTATAGGTGTCCTGAAAATGTCTATGTTGATGTTATGGAATATTATGGAACATATCCTGAAATAAGCAACCCTTTAAGGGAAGCGGCGAAACCAAGTAAAAAAATATTCATTGCTAATAAGTTTTATACTTTACTCAAGATCACTGTCAGTCAAATTCAAGGTTTAAATACCGCTTTGAATATTCTTGATTTAGAATACGTTGATCTTTAATAATTAAATTTTCCAGAATCCGACTCGATATACAAGAACATTTCTGTAGAAGCTGCATGAAATTCTTGTATAAGCAAAGTAGGGCGACAAATATTAGTGTCTCGGATTTTTCCACAGTGCATACACTTAGAGAGAATAATGAAAACTGCTGTTAAATCGCAGGTAAATCAAGTTCTAATTCAATGCGTCTTTTCAAAACCAAAGTCATTTATTGATAAATACTTCAACAAAATGGTTTTCAACTGGAAACTTATAATCCATTGAATTTGTTACAGGAAACCATAAAATTTTATCGAATTGCGGTTCTATAAGTATATCAATGGGGTATTGCCAAAAATAGTAAATGGATTTAGAATTTTTGTTACGATGGGTAACAAAAAGAGGAATCATACCAATTATCACTTTTTTTAGGCCTTATGGAATAGTAAAAGCACTAAACTTATTTAGTTTTAATTTAACTGATGAGGAAGTTGACAACATGACAAAACTAGGATTAGAACAATCTGCATAAACTCCTTGGACTTTCTTATATAGTGGTAGATTACACTTTAAATTACGAAAATATAGCAACATATATTCCCGTATCTAGAGTATTAATTTGAAAGAATCCATTTAACTATCAGTTACTAATCTTGAGTTTCTATTGTAATGATAAAGTCGGAAGGAATATTAAATGCGAATAACTTTCATGATTATTGATGCAATATGGTTGCTGTGATATGTTATATTGTACAATTTATATCTTTAAGTATCTACGAAATCGATCATTAGCAAAAAAATGTTCCACTAAAATTAAAAAGTTATTAATACATCATTTTATATTTTTTCCGGTGTATGTTATTAAGTTTATATAATGCTTCAATATACCATAAAATATCATCCAATATTTTCAATTATACTATAATTGTCATGAGCGAACCTAATTCCAGGATCTAGGACATGTAATCTAAAGCGAGATAATTAAGTCAGTACTTGTCATTTTACTTATATCATTCCACAGTATATTTCTCAACATACTGATTTATACAACAATTGGTTGGAAGAATAATACCATTACAATTAAATTTGAACCATACAAAAAAGGGAACAATAATGAAATGTAGCATTAAAAAAAGGACTAGTCAAATGACGTACATATATGTGTATATATTTAGTTGTGAATATGTAAAGAGAAACCTTGAGCACCCGACTTTCCAAATTCTGGTTTCAACTCCAACGATGGAATAGAATATTCACCACCATTTTGTCTTCTGTAAGGAATAGGTTCCATGTTTTCGACGTTGTGCAAATGTTCTTTTAATTTAGCGACCCAATCGTCATATACCTCTGGAGTCATGGTACTGGATTTAAAAATTTTAAATGAAGGTAAAACAGTGAAACCAGGATAGTATAAGATACCGTGGTTAATTGGGAATAGAACATCATCGATAGGACCACAAATACCTCTTTCACTGTAATTACTTACTGAACCACCTATAGTTACCATTAGCATACCGCGTTTGCCTTTGAAAACACCATCACCGAAACGGTCACCCCATTTGGTTTCGTTATGTTCACCAACACCGTAAGCCAAGCCCAAAGAATAAACTCTATCAACCCAACCCTTTAAAATAGCTGGCATTTGGAACCACCACATTGGGAATTGGAAGATAACAGTATCAGCCCATTGCAATTTTTCATGTTCTTGAACAACATCTTCAGTTAATTTGTTGTTGAAAAATGCACCACCAGAGGCAGCTGCAACTTGTAACCTTTCTCCCTTATTGTGATTCAAAAAATCATCCTCATCAATAACAGCCTTCCATTTCATTCTATACAAGTCACTGACTTTGACTTCATGGCCATCATCTTCTAGTTGTTTGACGGTGACCTTCAACAAGGAACCGTTTAACGAACGTTCATCTGGATGAGCAAAAACTATTAAAACTTTCATTTTGATAATATTGATATTATGGATCTATTCAATTACTCTTAATTGTGTGCTTTTTTGTTATTAAACAAGTTCGACATTTTCAATTCATAACTTCTGAGAATATGTCACTTTTATAATTGAAATTTCTGAAATGTATTAATAATCATTCAGGGTATTATGCCATAAATATCAATCGAGTGTTTCTGGCAAAATCTTTGACCAGGGATATTTCAAATTGACCATTTCGAAATATTTCGATATTATTAATGCAAAATAAATGGAAAAGAAACCAAGAATGTTAAAGTCATAGTTGGACTGAGCATATATTATTTAGAGGTTTCCTCGTATGAACCTTGATATGGAAGAGATATGTGTTGTTATAACAACGTTGTGGCATATTATTAATATTCCTATTAAAAGAGATTATTATATATTATTGTATCTTATTTAGTATGTTAACTTGCATATAAAGGAAACATCAGTAACATTATTAATTAACAGCAAATTTAATTTATAATACAAATCTCTACCTTAAGATCCTATTGAATACACGCAGAGCCGCCTTTATTCAAACGTATACCAAACTAACTATACAACTAAATAATAATTAAAAGTTTACCAAATCCGGGCCAACCAATACAAAAAGGGTTTGATAGCGTATTTCCTCGGAAATTAAGGCATTCCAAGAAAAGAAAGGAATCCCTTTTGCGTTATAGACAGGAAAAGTTGTGGAAAGAAAAAATACGACGAACGGAGATTAAATTCACCGAGCCGACGCTGTTTGACGGGTCCGAATAAGATGATTCCTCGGCCGAACTGCATTAGGGAGCCAAGCCAAGCCACGTAAACAAACGTGGGGGTTTCACTTCTGCTTATTCGAATTTCGGGTTTTGTTATCAGTACTTCTAAACTTTAAAGGTGTCGAGGAAACGACTCGTACAGAGAAAGGTTTCTAATGGTCAACTTTGAAGGAGAATGCTATTCAACCTCAGTCGTTCGAATCAACCACTGATTTATCAGTCCATTCTTTAATAATAGCAGCACCTAAAATCTTCTAACGTCAGTGTAAATTAAGCGACAATGAAATTCTTAAATGTTTACTAATTAAAACCTGTCATAAAAAATCTATAATAAATGGTAAACTTTGAATGTCATTACAATCGGGAAATTATTTAATAGATATGAGTTACTAAAGAAAAATCCTAGGATTGGAAGATAATATCATCTAAAAAAAAAGAGAGCTATAATTCTATATATAAAAATATCACAAATGTCCCCACATATTGAAATCCCAACCACTATGAAGTATGCCATTGTTAAAGAAGGAATTCCTTTGGCAGAATTGGAAGAAGGTTATGCTTTAGTTAAAACGATTGCTTTTGCTAGTATCCAACAGATTGGAAACATGTCGACTATAGATTAGGCCCACAAGGTTCTATCATCGGCTGTGACGTTGTTGATCAAATTGTTAAATTAGACTCAAATATTAAAGACTGGGTAATTGAAGATTTTGTTTATGGTTTTATACATGGTTATTCAACCAGGTGCCCTACAAACGGTACTTTCACGGAGTATGTTGTTGTCGATACTGCTACCGCCTACAAACCATTGAAGAGTATAAAGTTGGAAGACTCCGATATACCAGCAGGCCCGATTTCTACCTTTGAGAGAGCAGCTTCTTTGTCCGTTTCCTTAAATACTTCAGGTATGGTATTGATCCATAATTTAGGGAATAAATTGTAGTGGAGACCAATTTCTGTCCATCATAGTTATTCGCTATTGATCTGGGGTGGTGCACCTGCCATTGGCCAATTATTAATCCAGTTTTCAAGGAATTTACAAGGTTGCACTAAAATTGTTGTTGTAGCCTCCAAGAAACACGAAGCAATTTTAAAGGCTTATGGTGCTGATGAAGTTTTTGATTATAACAATTCAGATGTAATCCATCAAATTAAATCCAAGTATAACAACATTCAGCATCTAGTTGATGGTGTTTCCAACCCACAGACTTTGAACCAAGTTTATCAATGTGCTGTTGAAAATGAAAAAGCAACCGTTATTCGATTAGTTACAATGTCTATTAAAAATATAGAGAAGACATAGAGAAGAGACAATGTTGTAGTTAGTGGTACCATGCTGTACTTGGCTGCCCGTAAAGAGGTCCCATTTGGTGCTCATTCCAAACCTGCTGATCCAGCTTATAGACAATCCGGAATTAATTTTGTTCATTTCATTAACCCAAAGCTTAATAATGGGGAAATTCACCATATTCCAGTCAAGACCTTCAAAAATGGGTTAGAAGATATTCCAGCCCTTTTACAAGGTATCAAAGAGGGTAAGAATTCTGGTGAAAAATATGTTACTGTCTTGAAACAGTAAGTTCTTATTATTAAGAAAAAGAAAAAAATAAAGACCTACATTTATAGTTTATTTTTACATATATATTTATCAACAATAGAATGATAAGTTAATGCAGTTATTAATTTTATTGAATTTTGGTGTGTTTTGGTCAATGAATAGTCGCTTTATAACCAACTATAAGGAATAATTAGTTCTATATGGTGTACCAATAATCTGATTTTAATTTCCTCTAGAATTGTATCTTTCACCATTGATGACATCGGTCATGATTAAGGGGAAAAATGCTGACTGATATAAATGGACTGTATTATAGATAAAAAATTTAAGACCAGAAACAATTAATACGCACAAAGTATATGCCACTAAACCTTTTGATATATATATAAACAAACTTAGTTGGGTATAATTGTCTTATTTTTTAGTGGAATTACTGAATAGAATTGATAAGATTATTATTACTGAAAGTGTGATGGTTAAAGAACTTGCCAGTAGGGAGTGCTTGATACAAATTTTAAACGATTTTTGATTAAAATGTCTTTCGATTTTGGATTAATCTAGTTTTATTTTTAAACATAATAAATACCCAATCTTGAAAGGATCAAATTATTCAACTCTCTATGGTACAACTATTTTAATCTAAGGCTTCCACACCATACAATGTAACATATGCCTATCGCCACTTTCCAAATTATCTCAAGTTACACAATATATTATATACTTATCAAATATTTCTAATTCTGATTTAAATAATCAAAATTCAAAAAGAAATTGAATTCCAATCACCTGGTGATTGACTCAGGGTCACATTATTTAACTAGTTATATATCGCAATCGAGCCCTACCCAGAATAATGGTATTGTTCTGTGTATTAAAATAATGGTGTATAAAATCTAAATAACAGATTGCTCAATATAATGAATGAGAGAATCTGAAATGATAAAATTAAATCGAAATCTTGAAGTTTAAATACAATATATACTCTGTAAAATCAACTGGTACCCAGCTGAGATTACCACCGAATAAAGAAAAAATGCAATTGATTTAGGATTAAATTTGATTAACCACGTACTATGTTCTGGTATTTTCAACTCCCTAACAATAATTTCCAGTATCCTATGTGTAATATGCTAGCAGAACTTCCAATAAATTAGATTTGTCAATTTATAAATTCAAAAATTCAAAAATCACATCCTTATGTGTTATTAACCGATATTAAATGAAGTATTCCAGAATATTACTGAAAAAGACTGGGTGTGTGAGAGAGTATTAATTAAATTAAATTCTACCCATTTTCTTTGCTAATACCAAAGATTGTTCCATTTGTTCCTTAGCGTTCTTCTGCATTTTAGCGCCAGAAATTTTCATGAATAAAGGTAATAATGTCCAATTAAGTACAACCCATGCAACTAATATACCATAATTTCTACCCATCTTATGTTTTGATAAGTTTAAAAAAATGACTTTATAAATATCAACAGCATTATGAATTGGCATAGCATAACCATATCGGTAAAAGTTGCTATCCAATGCCATTGGGAAGAAAGTAACTGATATATTTAGGATAATCCATGTCAACAGCCAGAATGCTAGATATTCTGTACCGTATGCAACAATCAAAGTAATGACATTTTCATTTGCACCACCAACAGCTAACATGACAAGCCATGTTGACATCCAATAAACAACGAACCCCCCTCTTCCGAAGGCCATTGTGAAATCAACTTGAAAAATTGCAGAAATTGTACAGAAGAACAAAGATAAAAAAAATAAAGTTACCACTGATATTAAAATTCTGTAAACTATTAACTGAGGAATCTTTAACTTTTGAGAAACCATACCATGGACTTTACCCCACAAGGCAAATTGTACAACAGTTAAAATCAACGTATAAATAGAACCAACTTGTAATGGTGTCAATATGACGGCATCTGTGAAAGGCCTCCAATCGCTAAAGGTAAAATCCATACTGCTTGCGGAGATTAACTTTTCAGGTTCAGTATCACTAATATTTACTGAATTAATAATAGGAGATAATACAGTTGCAGGATATAATTTTTTGTAAACACTCTGGAACGCCTGTGAAATTGGCAGAATAGCCGATTTCAAATTAGTTGGATCTCTACCAGATTCGTAACCTACCTCGAAATATTCTGTAGAATCGAATATATTTGAGGAATTGTTGTCAGTCAAAGAAGAAATTAAATTTCGAGTTGCATTTTCCTTTATGTTCAGAGAAAACCAATAATCTTCATGATGAATGATTTCAAATATTTTTTGGTTGACCTGCGAGGAATCTGTTAAATGATAATGGTTCATGAATTCAGATTGGTTGTATACTTTCCAGTTACCCTTTACTGTAGATGTATAATTATCCAAAATTTCATATGCTAATCTAGACAAAGGAGAATTACCGTCATCATCTTGGAAAACAGCTAAGATATTAACTTTGTGAATGAATTTATCTCTATGATAAGACGCTCCCCAGTAAATACATAAAACAGTGAAACACATAAAACCCAATAGGAAAAGATTAATTACCAATTGCTTACATATTGTGAATCTGAGATCTTTCAAACTATTATCCCAAAAATTTAACCTTGGAGGTGGGCCTGGTTGCAATCTTTCGCCATCACTTGTTGTGAGTTCATCACTAGCAATATTTTTCTCATCAGCTATGTCCTCATTATCGATATATGAGTTTTGAGAATTACTCTCATCATACAATTCCGATTGAATGTCCACAGCACTATTTTTTCCATCCTTTGAATTCATCATCTTCTGTCTTTATAAAAGAAAACCGCAATATACCATACACCAGTGAATGGATAAGATACGTATTTAATATCCAGCTTGAAATAACAATTAGAGCGTACTAAACAATTGATGATTTGAACGTCATTGATATGCAAAATGTAAGGGAACTTTAAAATAATAGAATTGAGATTCCAAAGCATTGTCTAGAAAAACAATCGACTAGCAAGCTTATTATATATCAAGGTCATCAGTTAGCAGCACATCTCATCACATATATTATTAAATCCATAAATCTTAAATCTAATTCGACTACAGGGTAAAAAAAAAAAGAAAAGAAAAAAGAAAAGAAAAAACTTTCCTTCGAAAGAAAGAAGTAATTTCCTTTCGGAAGATCCTCTTTCAAACGGAAAAGGGTAAAATTCGAATAGCAGTAAATGGATGAACCAGTATAAATACATGGACATGCATATTCACGGCTATCTTAGTGAGAAAACGGGTAACACTAGAACAGCACTTTCGGTGTTCGAACCATATACCCTTCTCATAGAACATCCTTCTCCGATGGGCTGCATCCTTTATAAATCCGTCTCCTTTGTTGTGATTCAACCAGGCATTTGCACAAAAGACCGCTGCAATAAACAAAAGCTATCGACTATTTGTTCTGAATCAGCTTCTTTTCCTTATCTGGCTACCAAAGCAATTGATCTCAACGGTAACAATACCTCCATCGCAATCCAATAATGAATTAGCAATTTTCTTTTTGAAGAATTTGACAAGAATACGTTCCAACTTTAATTTGGGAACTAATTTAATTGATATATATTCCCAGGAGCTACCAAAATTAGCAACTGGATTACTTAGTTACCAGAATTCCAGAAGTTTTAATATATCCCTATGGTTTGGTATATTCAATTATCTTAAATTCATTTTCTACGTCAATAATGATTTTAGTTTTCATTTTTACAAGGCAGATGGAATCCATTGACTGAGTAATTTGGCGCAGGCTGACTACCAGGTAAGTGTTGTAAGTAATTATCACTCTGTTGGCTAAATGTAATATAATGGGGCAGAAGCTTAACCTTTATACCAATAACCTGGATTTCTTCCTCGGGTATCGTTTTACTATCTCCTAAGTAGTATCATATATAATGCAATATACTAGGAAAGAATTTTGAGACGCTTAACTGATTTTCTGGGAATTCTGTATCTCAAATTTTGAATACACCAATGTAATATAATTAAATTAACCTTTAGACTATAGCATATACATATACGTACATATCCCAATTCCTAAGAGTAAATATTTCATTCACGTGCCTGTATATACTATACTAAACAATCAAACTGTTCTAAACAAGAAATTTCTTTTGTAAATGTTGTAAGTGGGGAGGCACCGAAAATCAGAAGAGAGATATAGGTGTATTCACAACTCAACATCTTCTAGAAACTTAATCACTGTTTCTTAAGTATATAGTTCTCTGTGTTGGTAGGGTTCTTCTAAATATTTCATTTCTTCCTCTGTTAGATTTACATCGAGAGCATCAATGGCCTCCTCAACTCTCTCGATAGAACTGAAACCTACAATAGGAAAACAGCCTTTCTGTAATACCCATGCTAAAGATATAGCCGACATTGGAATATTCTTTTTTATAGAAAGTTTTTCGACACGATTAATAATTGATGCTTCCCAATCGGTGTAGTTTTTCAAATTTTTGGTCTTAATTACAGAATCACTGTTAGATCTAGTGGTTTCTGTACCAAGTGGTCTACATAACAATCCCCTATTTAATGGAGAAAATGGAGTTAACGCGATGTTATGTCTTTTTGCAAAAGGAATTAATTCTCTTTCATCTTCTCTATACATTAAATGATAACAAGATTGGGAGTTGACAAATTTAAACCAACCATGTTTTTCTGCTACGAATTGCATTTCTGCAAATTCAGTTGCTAGCATCAATGATGCACCAACATATCTAGTTAGACCTTCAATGACTACATCATTTAAAGCTCCCATAGTTTCCTCAAATGGTGTATCGGGATCACCTCTATGGATTTGTAGGATATCTATGTAGGTTCCTAATCTTTTAACAGAAGCTCTTGAAGAGCTGAAAATAGATTTACGTGATAAACCTTGCATGTTAACTACATTTAGTTTCATTTCTGGTGTCATATTTTTAAAGTCTATATCCATGTTTTCATCAGCAGGAAAACGCAATTTTGTCATTATAACAACAGTCTCTCTTGGAATGTTATATTTCCTTAGGAATTCACCCAAAATAATTTCACTTTGACCATTACTATATACATTTGCAGTGTCATAACTACGGATACCCCTGTCATAAGCATGTTTCAAAATTTTAAAAGCTTCTTCCTTATCATCTTGAACCCATTCATCCCAAGTCTTCGAACCGAAGGACATACACCCAATAATAAGCGGGGATACTTTCAAACCAGTATTTCCAAATTTTTTTTGTTGAACAATTGACATCGATATATTAATTATGTGCCTTTGATTGTGTTAAATCTATTGATATTCTTATACCAAGAAGTACTCAAGTGTAGAGCAATGTTGAAAGTATTTATTTTTACTAAACCAATGAATACCATAAAGTAATTGCCATTTTATTTGATTCTATTCGTATATTTATACAGTTCTTAATTAACCATTCTTAAAAGATTTAAAATATAAATGCATGGGGAGATGTTGTTGTCTCGAGATTAATCAGCATTATACAAGTATGACAATTTTCGGCCGAGGTATCTATAATACTCTAGTGAATTACTCGGCCGATCAAGACAGAGCTTCTTTTATCTTCTTTATTTACTTTGCCTACTAGTTATTTGATAAAACTGATCAGTTGATATGCCCAAGGAATTGTTTTAGAAATACCACTCAATATATTTACATATATGTAACATCAATTTTCTTTATATTTTCAACAAAAAAACATAATTCCTAAAAAGGAATTTTACAGCCAAAGTTGTGTATCAAAAATAGAATGGATGCATGATTCAAAATATCATTGGCTATTCGTAACTGGGCTGATATACATAACCGTAGTTCCTGAGATGGAAAACATTCAACCGTCGCATTCTTCGAAAGAGGATTCATTTACAGCTTAGAAAAATATGAGAAGAGATCTGTAAATCTAGTGATAATCTTGGTATAAAAGTGTTGGACGCTAGTGATAATACTCATTACTAGGTGTGTACATAAATTAGTGTGAGCATCAGCTGCTTCCTGACCCCAAATCTGGTACCTCGGCTCGATGATTCCCATTTTATTGTTTGTTGCATTCATTTCCTATAGCTCGGCTCGGTAAAAAAATAACTGGGGGTTCTTGAAAAATATAATTGGTATTTAATTGGTTTCGAATCGTTTAGCAGAACAGAAGGAAGTTTTTACTAAAGGTATCATAGATTTAGAGTGGTAATTTGCGCTTCAAAATTCCATTGTGTGTTATTTCAACATAGCTTCATACGAATTAGTAAAGATCTATGACACCAGATAATACGTGTTATTATCGTTGACACATACAAAGACTAATAGTGACTGCTATTTGATTCAATTGTATATTATTGTATATTATTTATTTGCTTTGTACATTAGAAGAAGAAGATTTAGAACTCTTTAATAATAAATCTACTTATTAACAGTACTAGTCTCCACAAGATAGACGAATAGAATAAAAGCAATACCAAGCACTTATTCAACGTACAATTACTAGATATCTATAAATTAAGAATTCACAACAAAGAATACAATTGAATAAAATCAGCTGATCATTTTCATCCATTTCAGAATAATTCAAACTTGATGTTGAAACTCTGTTTATGAAATCAAAGCGTAATCAGTACTGATTATTTGTTCTATATTACAAGTTAAACATATCAACAGCAATAACAAACAAAGCTTTTTATGGGGTATGTAAGCAAATATAAATAGGATTACCAAATATAATGGGTTCTATACCAAATAAACTACTTATTTCTTGCATTTTTGCTACTAATCCTAGTAAACTGTAGTGATAACATATTAATCCTGCATATAATGTGCTCTTATCTTTAAAGTATATAAAAAGTTTCATCATGTACATGTGGAGTTCTCTATTATTAATATTTTGTTCTCCTTAATAACACTAAAAGCTCTAATGATATATTATAATTTTTCCTGTTTCATTGTTCTCATTGCTTCTTAATGTAATTTTGTTTAGTTTCATTAAGAAATTATTATCTATGCAATTTTTGAGATTTAGTTAAACCACACAAATTATAGCATAGTCCCTAATTCTATTCATAAGTATATATATATCCAACTAATTTGGGATCTAAGTTATATCTGGATTTTGCTTTTATTTGTCAACCTCCCGCCTTCCAATTTATGTTTGTAATTTATGAAATATTTAGAAGCATAATCAACATCGTATTGCATTGAATGAAAAACAAAATCCCCTGCTTTTTTAAAGTTTAAGGAAATATTCGAGAATAAATGACAAAAGTTTAAAATTAAAGAAACGAGGGAAATATTTTAGAACATATCTTATTAGTAAAGACAGAATTAATTTTACCCAATATAATGAATGACCTTATTCTCCACAACCTTTACAAATCGAACATTAATAATATCTAATACCAATCAATTGGCATTTATATGTACTAGTTTATCGTTTCCATCCATAGTCTTAGTGCTCAGGTTAATTTCAGTTAAAATAAAATGGTATACAAACTTTATTGGATTCAAAAATATTTTTACAACACTAAATATTACTTGTGCGGAAATAATGTTAATGCTGAATGGAATATTCTAGCTCTCCTAGGGATTGAGAATGAAAAAAAAATAGAGTAATACATTGGACAATTTCACTAATAAGCAGATCAGAAGGAATATAGAAACTCATGTTCTAACGCCGAAATAATTCCCAGTAGAAGTAGGCTTTTCTGTAAATAATCTTACTCGATATAACCACTTCGAAACTAAATTCATTTCCATTTTTCAATATCAATACAAATAAATTCTCACTCACACAACACTACATTAATTGATGCTAATTAGACCTAATGAGGTGATGACTCAAGTCAAATACCCAAACTTATCTACTCCAAGACACCAAACTACTTTATCAAGATATCCTTAAGCAACAGAGACTTCTGCTACAGCAATTAATTTACCTGGGAGGAAACGTGTCTTTCAAGTCTCTGCATCTTCATCCGGCATAAAAACAATATGATAACTGTAATAACTGGGAGTCAAATTATATGGATAACTAACCACCTTTCCAATCATAACCCCAGGAACACCAGCTTTTGCAAACCAAACTTCGCCATCAACCAACCCCTCTAATAAGCCCCGACCCGCTGTAACTGAGTTATTACCCCAACAGTAAAATTCCTTGCTGCAAAATTTTTGTCCCTCCGAGTTTTCTTCGTGTTGCTATGATGACGACGATCTTGCAACAATATTCGACAGGTTCGAAACAATTTAGTCAATATATCAACTACTACCAAGCCTCTAGTATTGACAGGATGATTAAATATATCTAGAACATCAGTCTTAAGCTTCATGTTAAGTTAAGCCTACAATTGAGTATAATGAGAGAAACGTCGATATAATTCTCATACTGAAGTATATAAACTGAAGGAATTTTACAATTATAGATAGCGGTAACTTCTGATTCAGAGATAATTGGTGCATTATAATTAGGTAACTCTACAGAAAGAAACTTTATTGGTTAACTACTAGTGTGGTCTTACAACGCTAATATATTTTCAGAATATTTGAACGAATAAGATATTGGCTGTGAATGGTAGGTTTGATAAGTAAAGCTCTTAATAAATCATCAATTGAGAGAAAATATAAGGTTTTAAATACTACAAGCAATGATATCCCAACTTGTTATCATTTTTCCAGGAGAAGAAATTTAATTATTGGTAAAGTACTAAAAAGTGAAGGTTATTATGCATTCAGTTCGATTCAATCTTTTGAAAAGTATAAAAATTGTACGAATAGAAATGAGCTAGATCCAAGCGGTGTAGGTGTGCCATTGTTGCATATTGTCAGTAGGAGAGAGGGCCTATTTGATTCAGCAGTTAAGTCTAGTATTGGAATTGGTTTAGGAATCAAAAAAATGAGTTTTACAATCTATATTTATGATTTGAAATCTAGGAGTGATCCTCCACCTTATAGTAGGTTTGAAATAATTAATCAATCGGAAACTCATACTCTGTATAAAACACCATTTTGCCAGGTTTCATGCGATAAGTTAGGCTCTACCAAGGAGTATCAATTTGATTACTTGCACTCTATTAACACTGATCCAATTAGTATGACAAGAGATTTAATAAGTGAAAACTATATTTCGAATATTACAGGTCAGAAGTTGAAATGGAATAGAAAATTGACACTATTATCACTTTTCTTAGAGGATAGTAAATATGAATTATTGTTGTTAGATGATATTAAGAATCGCCCAATATCAAGTAATCCTAAGCCTAAAATTGCGTATTACAATAAAGATTTTGCAGATTCGTTCTATGGTTCTATCAAACGTTCTGCTGACATTTTTGTTGGAGAACAGACTGATGTAGACAGTTTCGGTATTGTAGGGGTCCCAGCGTTGACCATAGAAATTACTTGCGAAGCATTAATTATACATTATGTTGAACATCATCGTAAACTTGAAAGTAGGAGAAGGTCACTCCGCATATAATATAGTCTTCAGGATAACAACAGAATATGATTAGTACAAGCTCTATTAGAGGCTTGAATAATTGGATTGCAATTAATTTCAAATTCCCAATATAATAACAATACAAAAAGCATCTGAACATATTTGTTCTAGTTCATCTAAAAGATAATAGTACCATTCTTTATTGTACAAATTTGATAATCATAGCATATTGTCTGTAACATTGATATAATTATCCAATACCCTATATATCTGGTTACTCATTCAGAAGTGAGGATATATACATTAGAAAATTTGATATCCTAATTTTTATAGTTGCTTAATGTCAAATGTATTTATCATTGTCTTATTTTATAATAATCCTATTATTTTCTTTTTTTTAATATGGAATATTATACTAATGACTGATTCTTATTAAAATTTTTTGTAAAGGTGTTCATAGTACATTATCAGTTTGATAATATTAAGAAAGTTTAAGTGTTTAATAACTTACAATTTGTTTTAAGAATATATAATTAAAAGAAGCATTCTTATATTACATTATCATTATTATGAATTAAACGTCGTAGCCAAAAAGAAACACTAGAGTAAATATATGTATAGAACGATTGTGTATGCATCTAGTTAATAAGTTGGGAATATACGTCTTTTTTTTGAAAAGCCATACCACAACTAAATAATGACAATTGCAAAAGAAATCAAGCAATTACAAGACCTTTGTATGTTATCTATAACAGCTGATTAATCTGAACCAGAAATCATTTATAAGTAGTAAATTCTGGAATAATAGAATCCTCATTTTTAATCATATTTATTAATTTAATTTCAGGAAAAGATTAAGGTCGATTAAATTTGAAAAATCTTCGACAGCAATGAAATTTTATTAGAATTAAATATATTCCAAGATATTATACTCTGGGAAGGTGTAATATGGGAATAAATAAAGCCGATCATAATATTCAGAGCATCTGATATAGAGAATCGCTAATATTAAGTTTCGAGCTAATTTCATCGACGTTCGTTATCGCGAATAAGTTACCTACTTTGTTGCTTGAGGAATTGTGAAATGACATTGAAAGATATAAACAAGGTAGGGAAAATGTTCATGATTTTTCATTTTTGGGTATTGGGCAAAAAATGACACAATATAATGGATATATATTTTCTTTTGTATACTTTTCTCTAACAGTCTCATATAATATAACAACCTGTTTCTGTAATTATGGCTTATGTCCGATGTCATATGAATAATCAATAGTTTTTATATATATTTATATATCAATATAATCACGAATTTTTGATTTCTATAAACGCTCTTTGCTTTGAATACAATTAATCTACAGTTAATCGAAAATTTCTAAAATGATTTAAAGAAGCAATACTCAATAATAATATTATATTTTGCAATCCAATATCTATAATAGAATCCAAATATACTCTTCTCATGGGAAATACATAGAGCGAAAACACTAGAAAAGGTATCTATAAGTCACTAAATAGTTCAGTTGATCCTTTTTATCTTTTCTGAACCTCGTTATCTATTTAAGGGATCTTCTTTCCTCTTAAGATTATTTTGTCAGTTGGAGGAAATCGATTGAATATAATTCGAAATGGGTTCGTATTAGGGAATTGTTATATATTTGCAGCTTAGCTATTTGGCCCTCGATATTCAGGACGTTCTAAACTTACTTTACATCGAAAACTTTTGCATTTCTAATTTTAGATCTGGCTGTTGGTCTTAGTTGAACATCAAGCCCTAATAGAAACCTAACCTTGATATAAAGACTTCATCTATAATAACGGTATAACAAGATAAAGAAAGAATATGACATAAGAGAGCTAAAACCTCTCTTGGAAACACCGACTAATCTGAATGAATTGATGCATTATTTATATACTAATTCTGTAATATAGAAATATACTTTAGATATAAATATCATATAATCCAAGTAATATATATTCCCATATAGACTTAATTAGACTATTAACTGAGGTTTGACCATTATAATCTTCCACCGGACAACTGGGCAACAGTCATATGCATGTAGTTACTGTACTAATAAAAAAATAATCATAACCAGGTCAAAAATTGATTTATAAGTAATTCGATAGGAATGACCAATTGCCTCTATATGTTCATTAGAACGACAGTCGACATTAGACTTGTTGTAACTATATATTAGGCGTATATACAGTTTTATAACAGAGAGTTAGATATTTCTATTACAATTATCCTTATTTATTAAGAATCACCAGTATCTCAACGAACTTTGATAAAAGCATCGAATCTCCACGGCCTTTCTTTGCCTTAATGTCTCAAGCCAATTAACGATAACTATATATCACATTGACAGTGATCAATACACTCCCTATACAGAGCAACGACTTTTTCGAAATGTCTAAGAATATCTTATCTATTTTGTCCCGCACAAACGTAATTCCTTAATTGACTATTAAGGACAATAGGCACACTCTAAAACATCTCACAATTGCCTAATACGGAAATCGCCGAAGTTGCTTTTTGTTCACTCGTGATCGGATAGATTCTACAATAGTACATCCTCTCCTCTATAGATGCACGTTGTAATTTCCATAGTAGTATTACTCCTCTAAATAGCATTAGAAATATTTTAGTTGCACAATATAAAAACTTCAGGAAGAAATTAGCCATAAAGTTAAAATATATATATATAAGAACATTGCATTCCAGAATATGAAGAAACTTCTTTTCTTTTTAGCTTTCTTTTAATTGAACATAATAGAAAGATACATTTTATATAACCGAGGACATCATGTATGTTTCAATAAACTCAGTAAAGTTATATTTTACTGTTCTGGCTGCGGTGAAGCTTGTTAGCGGTCTAACTGTTGAAAGTCCAGGAAGTAATAATGTAACCATTTCTGACAAAAACAGTTTGGAAAATATCAAACAAAGCGGAGGAATCGTTTATGTCTCGAACTCTGAAAACATCACCGACTACATTTCTATGTATGCTAACACCGACATAGTTATTAAAGATAATAGCACTGGTATTGTTTATTCTAATATCTTCAAATGGCACGAAGAGGACAATTCCAATCCTATCTTTGGAATACACAAAGATGAAAAATCTAATGGTATCTTCGCTAAGAAGGACCCAATTGTCTATGACGTGGGCGGTTGGCATTATTTTTGGGATCAACTCCAAACCATTCACTCTGGAGAATGGTGGTCTCCATGGTATCCTGTTTCACAGTGTTTCGATAACTCTCTTAGTGGTGACGAAGCAGTTATTAATATTGGCTATGGATACTATTATGGTTGGTCAATGGAACGGATTTTGTTTCTTAATGAAAAGGCTTTATCAGCATCGACTGGATATTCTGTTAGTAGATCGATCAGTAAAAGTGCCGAACTGGAGTGTCATATCCCTGCAGGTACTGATGGCCAGGTTTGGTATCAACAAAGAATGATGTGGGCAGATGTCCAAACGCAAGGCTGTTCTAAAAGTGGAAGTGGTAAAACCGCATGTGGCCGATGGACAGCTTATAACAGAATCAACGCTCCAATAAAAGGGGAATCGTCGAATTCCCACTTTGATTGCAGAACTGGAGATACCAACATTGACTGTAATGCAAATATAGGTGACTGGTTTAGGTTGAAACATTTTTATAAAGAATAGGAAGAATAATTATTAACTTTCTTTTTTTATTACAACAATTTAGGTTTATAGTAAGTGTCGGAATATAAGATATCATTGTATTGAAACGTAAGTAATATTATATGGCAGTTTAGACTATTAACCCTAAACTAGCATGGCATTAAGTGAAAATTTTACACCTAAAATTTATTATGAATATATATTGTACAAACATATTTTTAAAATAGGATAATTTCATACTGATGATCATACCTTTTGTTGAAATATGGTTAGCATTAGAAGCCAAACCAGCAAACCAGCAAACCAGCATGGTCAACAAACCAGCATGGTCAACAAACCAGTAAACCAGCATCTAATTAGAATAATTAGATGCTATCCTTATGCTATATAAAGGGATAGTATTCAAGATAAATGAAACTATTCCTACCCTTTATCTAATCCTTATATAAAACTATATAAAGTAATTAAGGATTAGCTTCCCAACCATATAGCTTTGAATAATGAATACTCAAATTAATAATAATCTCGAAACTGAAAGAAACTGAAAATTACTCCTTCTCAGTTTCGAACCTGCGTCAACACCTTTTTGTACCTCATGTAACGTCAATACACTAGGCGATATATTTATTAACGCGGTATACAAATAAATATAGGTATATCAGTGCAACATCATAATTATTTACTAGTTTCTGGTTGCTGGTTTCTGAACCTTATTAGAATCCAGCATATGATGATTTTTTGGTTTTAGCTTCAATCTTATGCAAAAACATTAGGTTGATGAAGTACATTGGGAAACATAATCTATTGGAAGAGGTAACATCTAGCAGTTACTTGAATATGAATATGGTTCGTGTTACGCTGAGCATATTTTCCACGTTATTGAATTTGCATCCGAAGTAATGAGGTTTCATCTTTTTGTAGATCCGATGAAAGTTAGTATGATTGGTAACGATAGATTTAGTAATTTGTTTAGGTCATATTTCTTTTTATGAGCTGAAAGAATTAAGGTTAAATTTCTGCTATCAAGAACCGTAGTTTAAATTTTAACACTGAATAAATGGTTATTACAACACTACTTCCAAAATTGATAACTATCTTATTTTCAAATTATGCATATAGTTGTTGGGACTAGGATACAAAATTACGGATTTGGCTACCAAAGAGTTGAAAGAATATGGGATTACTCGTTTCTCATTCTTGATAATAGTTTTGAATGATTGATTGTTTATAAAGGATTTGGAGGAACTGAAGAAAAATGGTTTGAAAGAAAGAAAATTTACATTTGTCGAAAGGAAAAATGTAATGGTCGATATTTTTAATGAAATATTTCTGGGTTATTGATAATTCATTAAAAAACCTATTGAATGTCTAAATAAATCGATAACTAAAAGCAATTTTTGTTCCATTATAGCCTAAAGTGGGAATATCTTAAATCAAGTAAGTTGGATGTTTTCTTGTAGTTCTCTAAAGGAACTTTTAAAGAATATGATAAATTATGGGAAACCTATATGGGGTTTATCCTAGGAAGCTGAAGCAGTCGAATTTTAGATAATACAAAGGAGGCATTTTTAAAAATATTGAAAATACAAGTATTGATTTCTTTATATCTTTATTAAATCTTAGAAGTCGAAAATATTTCCCTAATTATACCAGCTCAAAATATAAAAGGGAACGAACTAGATTGTTTGAAAGCCACTAAGATGATATGGATGTTGAAGAGATACTTTACACAGTTATTAAGTGGATAATGTTTCGTCAATGGATGACACTCCAAAATAGTTCTTTTTCTCATAAAAATAGAGCAAAAACTAATAGCAATTGTATTCCTATATTATTACTACCATAAATTGATATCAAACTGTGAATTGAGACCTTTATTGACTAGTTTGTTAAATTGGTTATAGGATTAGATTAGTTAACATCAGACAGAACAAATACTGTCATCATGGTTTACTTCTTTCTTCTGGAGAAAAGATACATCGTTTCCATAAGGCAAACAATGCAATGTTTGGAGACCTTATCTGGACAATATACTTTAAAAGTTGTTTAGTTTTATTCTGTTATAACATGAAATCTGATTTGGAAACCAGTGAGCGTATTGAACAAATCTTCATATGGTCACTCGAAACTAATGAGAATGCAATTTTAATTTGAACAGCCTAAAAGCTGGTTTCAGAGTAGAAGTAATGTAATAATGTAGCCATGAATGAAATTCTAATGAAGTTGGCAGTATGCTTAAAATGTCTTATACTAATGATCATCTGTGATGATATGTTCAGTCGAGTATTTATCTATTTTGATGAATTATTTTACCCTAATGTAATGCATATAACTGTTTGTTATGTTTATTGTCTATCTTCCTGTAACTAAAATCACTTTTTCATTTTTAACTATTAACTAAGATATATGAATCTGTAATATTTTATTTGGTACACTAGAATTTTAAAATCTTTGTCCATAATTACCTAGAAACAATTCCTGCAACTTCTCAAGTCTTCACATTTTTTATTGATTTCGACAATATTTTGACGTCATAACATATGTACAAAGAATGATGCCAAATAAAACGTTGAAACAAGGTCCTTAAATGATCTTGTTGCTAGGAAACACTACTTAAAGTTAATGCTTTTGTTAATTGGCAAAATATTAGCCTAAGTTACTAAATGATCTTGAATCCTTAGAAGAAATACTCCAATTTAAATTATGCAAGATTCAAATATGGACCAAGAGAGTTGAGAAGCAATCAAAGAGGGAAAAACCAATGATGTTACAGAAACACCTAAAGTATCTGTTAAAGTAATTAAGTTCGTTTCAATAATTTTGGCCAGAGGTATTATAATCATAGATGGATTAATTGATATAAACAAAATACAGATAGACATACCCTTAGGTTTCATAGTTGAGTTTATGTTTGAGTTTATGACAAGTTTTTCATTCGGTATGGCTTTATTGTTCTGGAATCAATAGTAGAGTTAGACATACATCAGCTACATTGTTAACTTTATCAGTAATTTTCCTTCAAATTCTTGCTGATTCTGTAAGCTATACTTCAAATTGCTTAAGCTTTTTCCAAAAAGACTAAAAGGAAGTAGTTATTTTGCCGTTTCATAGTATTGAATCGAATATTCTAAGGGATTAAAATTTTATAATTTGACCCTTTTATCTAAAATTAAGGTCATAACTAGAGGACAATTTTTTCAACATTATTAAGCAGAGGGTATATTTGCTGTATTCAAGAGCAACCAACGGGAGATAAAAATTTAGGGAATATATATAATTCCATATTGTAATAATTTAAAATATTTAAACAATATTATGAACATGTATCAAACAATAAGGTTTTTGAAGTAATAAGAAATTTATAAAAATAATTTTCTAGTTTTGTTCACGTTAAACTGAACACTACAAAAAAAGTTCATTAGCTTCTATTTATCAATTCTAATAGTTAAAATATGATATTTATTGTACTCTTGTAAGTAATTTTAACTTACGATACTTGCGCTATTCTTTCTCATCAAATTGGCCATTGGCGATTTAAATAAACAGAACGATAGAATAAGATTAAAAATAAACACCTTGAGCAAATTTATTCAATAAGATTAATACAAAATGAAATCCATATCAATTAATATTAGGAAGACACAGATATTATATTTTTTTTTTTCAAAATATAGACAATACTCTACTATTTTGTTGTTTAAGATAGAAAGGATATATATGATACTACAAATAACGAAATAAATTATAAAATTAATATACAAAGTAATGTAAACAATTCAATTTAAAACGGGACAAGATATTTCGCTAATATAAAAGATAATAGACTAGTATCCAGTTGACCTTAAAATAATATGTTCTAATATTTAATGGTAATTTAAATATGAAATTATTACTCAATGGCATTGATTTTATTTCCTCACAGGTATATTACAAATGGATTGATAAAAGTTGAAGGGAATAAGCTATATAATTCAATTTAAAAATGATTCTTAATCATATCCTCTAAGAAGTCATAAAACTTCAAGTCAGAAACATTCCTTAATCAAATCTTTATACCAATTATAGGACCACAGGCTTTACAAATTGTACAATATAAGTTTCTTCACCAACAGTAGTTAAATTAGGAGATAAGGCCTCATAAAACTATGAGTATGCATCGAAGAAAACATCCTTACTAACAGCTCTGACAAATAATCCTGAAATAACTCCATGCTGCCTGGCCAATCCTGATTTTAAATTACATGGATAACAAGAGACCAATAACAATTAATTTCATTAACAGTATTTTGATTCTTAGTAGCTCAGAATTTAGATTGGAGAATTTTTGCAGATTTAGATTGGCATTAAAACCTACATATTAGTAAAAAGGATGTACTTGACATAAAAATGTCATAATACAGTCCATTGATAAAAGGTTAAACAAGGATGTGTTTCGCCAAAATAGAAGCTTTATTGTTAATGACGTTAATAAAGTTGTACAGTAACTATTATTACAAATTATTATGTATTATTGTGTATTATTGTGTATTATTGTATATAATGTTACCCTTGTACATTAGAATAAGAATATAGAAGTTTTTTGATATTATATATCTACTAACTTGCTCTAGTCTCCATGATATAGACAAATAAAAGAATGAAAGGAACACCAAAACTAATTAAAGTACACTTACTAAATCTTGATAAAATAATAATTCAAATAGAGCTCAACAAAGAATACACATTTTGGAAGAAAAAACTGAGTGTCTCTGTAGCACATACACTTGTTCCTTGTTCCTTTCGACTGTTTGCCATAAGAGGCAACCAAAAGGTTGTGCACGAACTCACTCAGTTGCCTGAAATGATATTTAAGTTCTGCAGAGTTATAACAGCCCGATCTCAAGATCTTGATGAACCTGAACACGCTGCTGCAGTTCCTCCCGGCAACTACACGGTATCCATGGAAGCTGGATGAGGTACACTTCCGAGGCAGCAGGAACGAAAGATTTTCATTCCTTCTCCACAACAAAATCCAATATTTGTCTATCTTATAAAATTGAAGGTATGAAATTGTATAAATACAGGAATGATTGCACTTATGAATACTGTTTCTCGAATTCCAAGCTCAAGAACTATCAGATGCCAATTTCTCTTTAGAAATATAATAAAGTGTATTTCAGTTGCACTATATAACTGATTGTTTGAAAATGTTAGGCGTAAATATATTCCTACTATTATCAGTGTTCGTCAATTTGACTCTTACTCTCGATATTGATACCAATGTATTACGCAAAAATGGAAATATTGCCGTAAATCTAGATGATCATGGTGAGTATAAAGGTATTAATCTTGGTGGTTGGTTGGTTACCGAACCATACATCACCCCATCACTCTACAAGGATGCCATGGCTCTAGCAAAGAAAAAAGGATCAAACGTAACTATTATTAACGAATACACTTTGTGTGAAGCATTGGGATACGATGATGCCAAGGAACTGTTAGACAATCATTTCAAAACATGGATTACTGAAGATGACTTCAAGAAGATTAGTGAAGAAGGGTTCAACTATGTCAAGATTCCCATTGGATACTGGGCGTGGAAGATTGACAATACAACTAATTTGTATCCAGGCAATCAGACTTTCAGCGACCCTTATGTGAATATCAATCAAAAAGAATACCTTAACAAGGCTTTAGGCTGGGCATTAAAATATGATTTGAAAGTGTTTGTAAATGTATATGCAGTTCAAAATTCAACAAATTACTTTGATTTAGATTTAGAGAATTATTTATGGGAAAATCAAAATGGAATTAGAGTAATTTCTTCAATCCTAAAAGATTATTTTGATTATATATTAAACATAGATTATCCATCTTCTTTGGCCAGTTTGGAAGTTACATTTTCCCCGATGTTAGCTGTATGGCCAGCTGAATCCTATCAGATTAACTTTTATACCGACCTTTTTGACTACTACCAAACCACAAAGGACAGTATTAGTAACCCAAATCCAAATATTACCTTTACTATTCAGTATAGTGGCCCAGTCTATAACATGACATACCATGACTTGGATCTCGACTTTTATAATAGTTCCAGTCCTTATTACAAGGGAATCGAATATAAATCAGATTCGCAAATAGCTGAATGGGATCAAGTATTTCTTCAATATCGTTTTGCAGAATCCCATGATTTTGACATTGATCAATCCATTGAAAATATTGCACATAATTTTAACTATAAGAAAAATATCACCGGTGAGCCAGCATTTCCTATTACGTTTGTGGGTTCCTGGAGTAGTACATTGACTGATTGCACACCTTGGATACATGGTATTGGTTATGGATCATGGTACGATGACACATACGATGAAGATACAAATTATGAAGTCAAAAATGAATACGATGATATTGACTATGAAAACTATGAAAACTATACCTGTGTTTCTCAAAATCAAATTGAGGAATGGCCTGAAGAATACAAAATTCAAGTAAGAAAGTTTATGAAACTCAATTAT